ACTCTCAGAAATTGCGAGCAAAGATACGGAGGGACCCCATACGACGACGATGCTCGTTTTTTGCCTGTACGTTTTAAAAATCTTTGTAACAGTGCAAGTTTCTTCTTTTTCAATGATATGTTTGATGAAAATACTCTTAACGAAGACCAAAAAATAATGAGGCACAAATGACGTATGCTTAACGTTACGGGTATATCTCTGTCGATGGAAGTTTCTGTTGGGTATAGTCCTTATAAAGTGGCTCACAGTGTCAGAGACAAGTAACAGCTGTGCGAGCAAAAACAACGCCGAATTTTCTCTGAATGCTCTGCATCGCGGAGTTCATCAGTAATCGACTCTGATACCTCTTGGATCTGTAATACTTAACAGTCCCACCATAGTACAGTAATGATTGCCTCTTTCATTCATCTTTCTTTTTGATTTCTAGCATGTGTACATGATACTTGGAAGTGTTAGAATTTTAAATACATTGCTTCTTTGGTTAGGTGAGTTTTTTAGACTAACAATAATACACTGGTTAAAGGAATTATTTCACTGTAAATTCAAGCGTTTTGAGTTACACGTTTAAAGGGTGTCATTGAAATTTTTTTTTTTTCATGAAGTACATTGCGGTGGCGTGGATAATACTTTTTATAACAACTAAGATCTGTGATGCGCCAAGTAGTTACACTAAACCAGTTTCACTAAAATGGACACTTGTGAATGGGAAAAACCAATGTAGGAAAGCTGTGGAGCGAAATAACTTGTCTGTCACAAATTTTACCTACTTGTAAACGTGTTAAATTTGTGACATAAATGTTTCACTTTCTACAGCCTTCTAATTATGCCAATAGTTAAAGGAAAATATTGTTTAGTTTTATAGAATAAGTGAAATACTTTACGAAGTATTGATTTAATTATTCCTAAAATGTTTATCAATACTACTATAAAGTATTTTATGAAAACGGAAATTTCGATTACACGCTTTAATCGTGTACCTCAACACACTTGGATTTTACAGTGTTGTATCTAATAAATTATTCATGAAAAATTCGAGCTTTTAGATTGACAACATAAAAATATTCGATAATGTAGTTAATGGTTGTGTCTCTGTATTTTTTTTTTCCTCTGGCACTTGTAAACAAATGTTTTATTTATTAATTGGAAATAATTGAATTATTGCTCTTATTTAAATTCACAGTTATTTACCGCAATTTAAGAATAAGTAATTCTTTCTATATATTATGTACAACCAAATTTTAGCGAAATTAAGTGCGATGGTATCTGCCACCTTCTGGACTCTCACTATTTAAATATCTTATGTTTTAGTTAACATTAGATGAACATTGATGTTTTATTTTTATTTTTATTTGCTTCAACATTAGATGTATTGAATGGTGATTCAATCTATTGTTTGAAATTAACAAATTTTTTTTTAAACTTTGAAAAACCACTTCTGGTTTTAATGTATAATGAAAGCAAGTGCTCCAAGACGATTTCTAACCAGGCGAATGAAACATTTGACTATCTGCAAACTTATTCGTGGTCTTTTGTCAGCAACGCTTATTCTCGAGACAGGAAGGGAAAAAAAAGCGTGACAAAAAGGTGTCCCTGCCATTAGCGTTCGCATAAAACAAGGGCCGCGCCTTCGCGTCGTTCCAACTGCACAAACTCATGCACACATGAGCCACGGCGCACTTTACGACCTACGTCCGCGACCTCGCGCTCCTTTGTCCACAGAGCGTATATACTTACGTGTGGCTTGGCGGTGCACGTTCTCGGCTCTTTTTCTCTTTTCCCCGTTCGTTGAGGAAAGAGCGTGACCTGTTCCGTTGGTTCATCGACGACGTAGAAGATGGGGATGCATTACGTCGCGGGTCACATTGAGGCTTCTCGAGGGATAAAAACGAGCGGTGACCGCTACACCACTAATACACGAGATGAGGTGGACGAAACAGAGACGCGCACGCCTTGGTGGCGGGGTCGCGCTCATAACGCGATAACCATCGATACTCCTCTCCCTCTTCCGCATACCGATTTTGTGGAGTGTACGTGCAGGCACACGTCTATAGAAGTCGTTGCGGCGGTGTACGGGGCAACGAGCACGTGATTGCATGGACCACGGAAATTGCGCGACCGCGTGGTGTACCGAGACTGTGGTGGGAGATAAAGACGCGCCAGCTCTCTATTGTGCCTGTCGGTGTAGGCAAGCCGATGATCTTGTGCATGTGGATGAGCACGAAAATAGTTACAAAGGTGATGGACAGAGGGTTGTTTAAATGGTATAAAAAAATTAAAAATCATCCTTCAGACTGACGGTCTTTGTGATAATTATATGTTGGACATGTTCTAGTTACGCCAGGTGTCCAACATCTCATTTCTAGCTTATGACCAGAATCCACAAGTACATCAGACATCATGCCATAGTGTCCGAGACAAAAGTTACTTGCAAGCTCGCAAGCATATTTTGATACAAGATTCAGAGCAAAAAATATGTAAAGGAGGTGGCCCCTCGAAATCGACCTGTGTGGTTGTCATACCTTGGCCAGATAATCCCGTCGCGGAAGTACATATCTAGCGTGTACATATCACCCGGCCCGTGACTCCTTCCCTGTCATTGTCGAAGAGATCGTGTGCTCGGGAGATAAGTAGGCGCAACCAACCGCCGGTCGATAGCTCGGTCCGATAGGGCGTCCACCACCACCGCCACTACGAGAATTATAGCGCTAGAGTAGAGTAACCCTATGGGTAGTGGGTCCGTTTTTGCCCTGTGACGTTTTTTTACCCTCCTGCTCTCTTGGAATCGCCGCGCGCTAAAATATCTCGGGTGCATTCACTGCCGCGAGGGAAAAAGCGCGGCAATAAACGGCTTTCCCGCTGCCGCGGAGAGACAGCTGGTCGGTACATACGATTCTGGACACTGGAGGGAGGAATATTGGCCTTTCACACGTGAACTGTTCACCACCTCTCACGAGTAGAGGTATCTTTTTTTCTTTTGGCGTCGCTCTCGTGTGTATTGCCGCCCGCCTGTGGGAAAAACGAGCCGCCGGTGGATTTTCTTATCGACGGCTCGTTTAAAAGTCTCGAGGTCCTTTTTTCGTCTACGTGTGCGTATACGTGTATTCTGCTAGTTTTGCTGTTACTATTACTGCCCATATGTGAGAAAAGTAAGCCGACTCTCGCAGAAAGTCATCAGTGGCTCTGTCCCCTTGGCAGCAGCGGCGTGGAATCCGCAATTGGATGGCACTGGTAAAGGTTGCTGCACCGCCCACCGATATGATGCGCGAATTTATATACATGTATACACGTGGACGGGTCCGTTTGTTTGTTGGCCGACGGCGTGCTCGGAAAATTGGACTCGTGCAGTGCGCCGGCTCTTTTCTTTCTGCGTTTGTCCGCTACACGCGGGGATATCGTTAGGTGGTGCGTTGTACCTACGCTGGAATGCGGTGATTGGGTGCCGGGAGTGCTGGACGAAGGACAATTTACTCGCTGCTGATATGGTCATATTTATTTGTCGGCCGCGGCTTTGCGCTCGACACTAGGTACTCGCGCGTTGTAAAATAATTGATTGTAAAAAGTGCGCTTTACCGTTTAGCTGGTCGAGTCGGTTGAGACCGAGTTATGTAGTTGGTGCGCGAAGAGAAAAAGGTTATTTTTTTCACCCAAGAGTGGCGTAAGAGAGTCTTGCGTGGAAGAACAACTCGGTTTGGATTCTGCGGACGTTTTTTACAATTTTTCGTGCGATCGAAATTTTGCTTTTCGTTATTGCGAAATATTCGTCATTAAAGTTAGAAAATGATGTGTGTACGTCGACTCACATAGTTTAGAATGTGGATCTCATGACTGAACAAAGTTTTAAACAAAATACGAGCTGTTATCGAAACATGTACAGCATTATCCGAGGCATTATCCATTGCAAGTGTAAGGAAAATATTGATGTGATAAAAAATAAAGACAAGTTATCTTACTATGGAATCAAACTTTTTTTTTAATGATATTACTGCTGAAGTTGGTTAATTAGTGTTATTCTGTTTTTAATTTATTGAATGTAAATAGAGCCTTTGAAATTGTTTAAGTAAAATATCAGTATGAAGAAAACGACAATATGACTCTAGCAAAAATATTGTTATTCAGTTATAAAAAAAATTAAAATTCACTCTTAAAAAATTTCAACAATTACTATTACTTTAAAGCGAATCTATCAAAATTTTATTTTGATAAAATTACAATGTCAAATATCATAGTCAATTTTTTTTTACATCACATGCATGAACAAATTTATCAACTCCTTCGTGGTTAAAAAAAACTTAGTGTCACAATTTTTAATTTCTTTTTTGCTGAAAGCACGTCAACTTTATTATTTAAATACTACAGCAGACATTATCTTCGAATCAAACTAAAAAACACCCATGTACAGTTCAGGAAAACAGACTCGTCGACATCAGCTCTCAATAAATCATCGATTTTCACGATAGAGAGTAGCCGCTAGCCCATTTTAAAAATAGCCTCGTTCTCTCGCACACCATACACTCCACGTACTCCTAGAGAGCCGTAAAACAGCCCGGCCTAGTGTCCTTGTCACTCACAGCTCGCCCACACGTGCAGATATAGTAGCGCTACGGTTGACGTATCGCAGAGCGCGAGAGAATGCGAAAAAATCGTGGCAGCAGCAGCAATAACACACACGTCGAACGATCGACGTTAGGAAAGAGAAAAGGAGAGCGAACGCGTGGCCACGATACTAATTTCGCGCTAGCGCATTCCGCCTTTTCTGGGCTTGGGTAGATATTATAACGTACTATACGTAAGTACTGTAGTGCTGCTGATAGTGGTGGTGGTGTTTTGCTGTCACTACGATCGAGAGCTGGACACGGACGAAGGCCGAGGTTCCTTTGACAAGGATTTTTTTTACTTCATTTTTATTTTTTTATTTTATTTTATTTTATTATTTTTTTTTTTTTCTTCAAATAGGCACAACCATATTTTTTGCATTGGCAAGACCTTTGAGAGAGACGAACTGTTTATTTTATCGAAAACTTGTAGAAAAAATCAACAACTTACACATCTAAATGTATGTAAAACATTGTAATTTAAAAAATAAATTTAGATATTTTTAGCTACATTAATACTTAATTTATTCGTTAATTTACAATATTTATTAAATCTAGTGAACTTTGTCTGCGCGTGTACATTTTCTCGAGCATTTTCCACTCATATTATTTTTTTTTTCGATGTGTATCAATATTCTTTTCAATTCAGAAGTTAATGATCCATAATAATAATAATAATAATTTTTTTTATTATGATTACATAATTGATTGGATTCTAATCACCTTTTTTTCATAGCACACAAATGCCTTGAACACCTTTCACATCGTCTTACTTTTCAATCATATTTAAATTTACTCACAGCAATAAAACTAGAAATATTTCACAATTGTACAATTGTGAAATACTTCAAGATCTATCGCTGGTGTATTTTTACATTCGCTTACTTTCTATTTCATTATGATTTCTGTGGAAAAAAAGGAGGCTCCGATAAAAACGAAAAGTTACAAAAATGGCAGCACGATCAATCAGCCGGCTGTCAAATAAACAGGTTATATCGCCCTCAACAATCTACAAACTTCAAAAACACATACAGGCAGACATTTTTTCCCCTCAACCGAGCAACTTCTTAAACGTTTTATTGATTTTTCTTTTTTTTTTCTTTTTTTTTTTTTTTTTCTTTCATCGTGGCTAAAGTAGTTTGGCGCACATACCTAACATGTATAACAACGAGCGAAGCGAAAAAACTGCCGACACGATAAATTAACGTATACATGCATAAGCTGCTGCTACCGCCACTGCAGCTCCGTAACACGCATAAAGCTCCACGCTGGCGCTGTTGCTGTCGAGAGCAACACGAAATTCCACCTCGTGGAATATTAAAACAAGTCTTCATCAACTGTTTTATAATTAATTTACGACCAACCGGTGGCGCCCAGCTAACATGAAGATCTCCCCTATTTGGAATTTCTTCTAATTGGCCTGACAACAATAAGTATACGGACAGCTAGTGGCTGCGAGTCGCAAGTAGAGCACAAGTTTTTTTTTTTCACACGATAAGCAGTCATGATGGTGGCTATTGTGCAATTTGTTATTCTTATACGCTCACGACGTTGGGCCATAGTTTTTTTCTCTCAGCCGCTACCGACCCCGCGAATTCGCGCATAAATTAGACCCAAGGGGCCAATGAGTATACCCCCCTGTCCACCCCTTGCTTTGGTAATTATAAGAAGTAACCCTTGTCACTCCGCGAGAATTTCGCAACGCGCACGACTCATTGAGCTCGTTCGCTCTTTTGTGCAGTTCAATTGCTGCTGTGTCCCGTTATGACGTGCTCTCCACCGTAGACGTGTGATCATTGTCGCTGCTAAGCCCAATAGGAATTTATCCGTCGGATTTTATTCATGCTCGTGCGGTGTATTTTATTACGTGACTCTATGTGCTGTCGAGCATTTTTTTCATCCGACTTTGGTATGGCAAGCGTTTCCAATAAACGCCCGGTATTTTCTGCTCGTGCTCCGTGAATGTCTATGTGTGTACGGGCACGTGTACAGCGAAATTCGATCTCTGCTTTGATTTTAGTCTTACTTTTAAATAGTCGGGGACTTACCATTCCTTCGGTATTTTATTCGAGAGATATATCGTGCTACCGTGCCATGTGTATACGTATACTTCTGTATCAGTTGGATATATTAAGTGCTTTTCCGTTGAAATTCAATTAAAATTATAGTACACGTGGTACGAGTAACGACTATATACCACATCAAATGGCTATGTCTAAATTGTTTTACAATTTTATTATTCAATTTCGAGAAATGGAAACAATCGACTTTAAAAAAATCTGTGTGAACTTACATTGGCCACGATAGTGTCTGATGAATTTTGATAAAACTTTGGGAGATGGTGTCTGGTACCTCATAGCACAGAAAAATTTCACACTGCATTAACAACTTTTTTTTAGAGCCACTGCTTATTCACATTAATATTAACACTACTGTTTTGCTACAACCACCTGCTTTAAACTTACGATTGACCCTATTTTAAAAATAAGTAATGATGTTAGTATCAGTTAAATATTAGAAAACACCAGAATGAATTTGAATCGTTAAATACTGTTTCTTCCATTGAAAAGTACCAGAAACAATACTTCCCGAGGTATCATTAAATAATTTTCTCTCAAAATAATTGCGTGCAACAATCTACGACATTCCATACAATCAATGCCCAATGTAATTGAAGTGACGCAGCATCATCGTGACAATCCACAGCGAGAACCAGTGACAAAAAACTCTCCCCCTAATTAAATTACATCTCCATCATCCTCCACACGCCTGATAATGAAGAAGTCATATTGAGAATTGTTACTCAATAATACTCTGATCGATGAAGATATATATCTTAAAAAAGAAAGAAAGATAAATCGAGCGAACAGGCACGCAGGTCCAACTGCACGCTTGGAATAATAAGCTCGCACATCAAGTATGGCGATCAAATTTGTTGAATGACAGCAGAAATGAACCTGCTCCTTCCGCACCCGTGGTGCGACGAGATTCGCGTCTTGGGCACCAAAGATACGTAAGGCGCACCGTCAGAAGAACAGCTGAGAAAAAAAAGAGACGCAGCTGGATCGTATACATTTATACAGGCGCATATTTATTATATATATATATATATATATATATATATACATTATACCCACAGAGCTCAGGTGAATGCGAATGAGAGCGTGCGTATATACCGCTCGCTTACCAAAACTGGACATCCGCGCATGGACTAGGTACACTGCGAGCGACGCGGAGTCGCAGGCAGCTTTTCTTTGCGCGGGGACATACCGCTGCGCGTTCCCGCGACTGCAGCTGCCTTACTCGTCGTATACATTATACGCTTACACACAGTGCGGTACGCTGAATTTGTTGCATGCGTTTCTGAAAAGGGAGCTAAGGTCGCGTGGTGAAAAAAAGAACGGGAGAACAAACAAAAAAAGAACAAAAAAATAGAGAATAAAGTGTACCGTACGGCGTACGCTCCTAAGAGACACTTGCGAAGGCCGAAAAAATGCGTGCGGAGGAGTGCGTGAGAGAGTTAGCGGACGATCCCACTCTCTTTCTCTAATAAACAGAGCCATTGTATGGTAATCCATAAATATGCACACGTGAGGCTCGACTAGAGAGGGACTGAAACTTGTACGTATATATACGTTCCCTCTCTAGTCGAGTGCTGTACGTCTCTCTTGTGCTTAGAGAGACTCTCCTCCGATTTCGCGTTGACCCATCGCATTCGCCTTTTACATAATATGTACGTATACATACCTGCACTTGAGCAAAAATTCTACGATGCAGCAATCATTTTTTTACGATGGACGCTTAGCTGTAAAAAAATAATTCCTTTGGATAAGTGCGATTTGGAAACTTGTCCGCGTTGTTTGTGGACCTTTCGATGGTGTGGTTAGTAGAGGTCCCTCTATACAAATGTTTATGTTAAACATTTTGATTCTCTCTCACAAATTATCATAATATCGTTTTGAAAATTTATCATGCGCATAAGTTGAATGGCTTAATGGGTTGTGTTTTTGGCAAGACTCCCTTTTTATTAGAAACTACATAGTTTAAAATAACCGTGCACGAATACCGGAAAATGGTGATAAATTTTGTATTGCAAAAATAAATTTTCAAATGATATTCTGTAAGGAAAATCTGTGTATTTTAACTGCGAGTACACAAAAAAAAAGAATTTTGCCACATGTGCCTATATACTCACACTTTAGAGTGCCGTGTGAGAAAAAGCCTGAGAGCAGCAGCTTGATAGATGAATCAATTGAATGCTCGGAGTAAATCGCTTTCAAACAAAATATGTAAATCCATTCAAATATATTTGTCAGGCAAAGTTACTTTTCTCACCCTAAATCGACTTGAGATAAAAATCAGATTGTTTGTATACCTGCTGCTGCAGCCTACCTGCGTTTGTGTTTTTCGAGCACAATGTACATGCATTATATGCGCGATTTATCCGAGTCTACTGGCTGAGAACGTGGAAAATCAATTTAACTCTTACGTATGTGATATTAATAATTGTATTTAAGTCAATCGAGATTCGGATGAAAAATAAAGCAAACGCTCGAGCTTGTATACACCAAAGCGTTACAAGTGTTTTATCCGTAATAACCAATATTTCATTCGATTCTGATAAGTTGCTGTAAAAAAGTAAGAATTTCGACGTTTTTATGATAGCAACTGCATTGAAATGATAGGAACTCTATTGGTTTACAAAAGCAACGAGATTTCTTCACACTCGGTCCACTTTGGTTATTTATTCAAGCTATTGCTCTAATGGGTGCCATTATCTTCTCGCCCTCTATTGTAAAACCGCTTGGGTCTAAAACGACGTTTGCAAAATCAAGCTATACCCCACATCGGATGGACTAGGATTTTCTCATTAAATACCTATCAATCAAACAAAATGAGCACAATAGAGGCAATTTTTCGAAATTTCCCCCAGACGCCGCTCTTGTCTTCGGTAGATTGGGTTTTTCAAACAACCCAAGGCAAATAACCCCTTTCAGAAATTATAAGCGACTCGCCCGAAAATATCCCACACTTTTTCTCCCGCGGCACATTGCATCTTACGTAAGAAATGACCGAGACTTTTGCACACGTGCCAAGAGAGATCCGCGTAAAGGACGCTTGACAAGTTCTCACGCTACTCAGAGACGACGACGAGGAAGCGAGAGTATATATAGGAGAGGCACTTTAGGAAAAAAAAAATGAAAGGAGCAGGGAAAGAAGAAAGGGAAAAAAAAGCCAAAAGAAGGGAGATGAGAGAAGGTATATGGTGGTGGCGGGCGTGGGCGACGGGAGGCCCTGCAACAAGTCGGTAATTGCGGATACAACGCCGGAATCACAGACCCGGGGGCTTGATTGTTCCGCCCAGATACAGATCTGAAAATGGTCGCGCTGTTGGTACTTTTCGTCGTCCCTGCTTCTTCTCCTTCTGCTTCTTGTTTTTGTTTTCCTCTCCTTTGAACGT